TTGGCTCCGGTCTTAACGCGCCTTTTCCGGTACCTGTACTCGCTCGGCACTGTCCCGAAGTGCTGGAAGACCGCTTTGATACATCCGATCCCTAAAAAAGGCGATCGCTCTGATCCGTCCAACTATCGCCCAATAGCTATAACCTCCTTGTTCTCCAAAATAATGGAATCCATTGTTAATTGCCAGCTCTTGAGGTATCTAGAGGGCCACCAGCTGATTAGCGATTATCAGTACGGCTTTCGTCGTGGTCGTTTGGCTGGTGACCTTCTTGTATACCTTACACATAGATGGGCAGAGGCAATTGAGTCCAAGGGGGAGGCGCTAGCGGTTAGTTTGGACATAGCGAAAGCCTTCGATCGGGTGTGGCACAGAGCACTGCTCTCGAAGCTTCCAGCCTATGGGCTTCCCGAGAAATTACGCAATTGGATCTCCAGCTTTCTGGCCGATCGGAGCATCAAGGTCGTCATCGACGGAGCATGTTCCGACCTAAAACCCGTAAACGCTGGGGTCCCACAAGGCTGTGTTCTATCCCCGACCCTATTTCTTCTGCATATCAATGATATGTTGAAACTTAGCAACATTCATTGCTATGCGGATGACAGTACTGGGGATACTTTTTACACTGGCCGGGCAGGTATTTCTCGGGCAGTTGTTGATGAGTACCGGAACAAACTTGTGTCTGAAGTTGAAACTCTACTTCGTGGAGTCTCAGATTGGGGCAGACAAAACCTAGTCCAATTTAACCCCAAGAAGACACAAGTTTGCGCGTTTTCCGCTAAAAAAACACCCTTTGTCGCTACTCCTCTTTTCGAAAACACTCTTCTTAAAGCCACAGCCAGCATTGGAATACTTGGCGTTGACATATCGAGCGACGTTCAGTTTCGCGGTCACTTGGAGGGAAAGGCTAAATTAGCCTCCAAAAAGCTTGGTGTGCTCAGTAAGGCGAGACGGTACTTCACTCCGGGCCACCGCATGCAACTATATAAAGCGCACATTCGGCCCCACATGGAGTACTGCTCTCACCTCTGGGCGGGGCTCCCCAGTACCAGCTCCTTCCACTTGACCGTATACAACGCAGAGCGGTTCGAATCGTTGACGACCAATCCCTCTCCGAGCGGCTTGATCCTTTGGCGTTGCGTAGAGATGTGGGGTCACTCTGCATCTTTTACCGCATTTACCATGGAGAGTGTTCAGAGGAGTTGTTCGGATTAATACCTGCAGCTGAGTTTCATCATCGGACGTCGAGGCAGAATACGAAATTCCACCCGTATCACCTCGACGTCCGACGTTCCACAACTGAGCGTTTCTCAAGGCAGTTTTTGCCGCGCACCACCACTATGTGGAACCAGCTGCCCACTGAAGTATTCCCGAACCAATTCGACTTAGGGTCCTTCAAGAAAAGAGCGTACCAATTTTTAAAAGGCCGGCAACGCACTCGCGAGCCCTCTGGCATTGAGAGTGTCCATGGGCGGCGGTATCACTTAACATCAGGTGAGCCTCCTGCCCGTTTGCCCCCCGTTCTATAAAAAAAAAAAAAAAAACATTATATAATTTCATCAACATCATCATGATGGCTGGAAGTCTTCCACAGTCCGTTTCACAAGGCACTTTATTTTGTGAACTAGCGAATCTATTGCCGGTGGGCGTCTTCCCTGTGAGATACGACCTCCAACTATTCAAAGTTAGAGTGTACTCCTCCCTCAAAGGCCGGCAAGGCACATACTAAAAACGGGTGTCCATGGGCTATCGCAGCCCAAACTGCTCTTTTTGGGCGTCCCGTAGCTATTATATAAAGAAAATAATAATTAAGCGCATCGATTCCTTGAAACATTCATCCATTTTTACACGTAAAATTTTATACTAAAATAATTTTATTTTTCCAAGGACCTCTTATAGAGTAGTAGTAAAAGTAGAGTTAAAAAGGCCTAAAGGAGGATAATGTACACACCATTATTTCAAAACACAATTTTTATTAGTAAACAGTCATAATAAAACATAAAAATACATATTTATTTAGGTTTCTTCTTTAAAATAACAAAAGAACTGTTCGTCTAGAAAAGATCGCTTGGTTGCGATTAACTCGTTCCACTGTGCTACTTTTAACTTTTTCAAATGTTGTCTGCATAATGTTTTCCAGTCACATACAAAATAATTTTGATAAGTGTTTAATAAATAAATACAAAACTAAATCTTTAAATCTCATTTATTCGTTACTTCTTGCTTTTCTTTTTTTCTTTTCCTGGAACAAAATAGAAACAATTGTAAACATTTTCTCTTAATTAGATAAAAGAAACAACGCCGAGTTTTCTTAGTAATGCGTACATTTGTAATAATTTATATACAAATACTAGCTGACCCGGCAAACGTTTGTATTGTATGTATATTATTTCTAGGAAAAACATTTTTAGTTTAATAAAAATAGCTTTCTACAATAATAAAAAAATAGGGGTTGATCGTATTTACAATTAGGGGTTCTATATATTTGTGTATGTTGTATCATACAAAAATAAAAATAAAATTTTCTAAAAAATTAAAACTATTTTTTTGTCGAGGACACCTACTCTCTATCTATCACTTAGGGGTTTGAAAGATAGATAGTAGTCGATTCTCAGACTTACTGAATATGCATATAAAATTTCATAAGAATCGGTCTAGGCGGGTCGGAGGAGTATGGGAACGAACATTGTGACACGAGAATTTGATATATACAGATATACAGCTCTAAATTAATTATTATTTAGAGCTGTATACAAAATATAAAATTTCTTATTTGAAAGCAACTTCAGTCAGCTTCCGATTTCCGATTAGCCAGCAAGTTGTAGCGCGCACTCACCGAATGGGGCATACTCTAATGCCAAGGCTATTTATTTCGTAATTCTACAGTTAACATAAATTATATATAACAAAAAAACAATTATACTAAAATATAGTCAATGAAGGAAAACATAATATATATAAAAAGGGGCAAACATTTACGAAAGGAAAAAAATCAATGAAAATTTAAATACATTTAATTAAGTAATACCTAATCGGCTGTGTTGGGTATGTACATGAGGTGTGCACATGATGCAGGTGATTTAAAGCTATGGATATTTCCTATTGAGAACTCTTGGGGAAATTTTGGATAGATGTAGGTTAGCTAAACTTGTCTAGAAACAAATTTTATACAATATAAAAATCAGCGTTCATATTTTCGTTGTTTAATTCATTAGACTATAGTTTACAATCCCTCTTCGAATATTCAAATGTAGTTAATGACAAGGCTTTTCTAATACTCTTTAAAACAAGATTAACTGTATAAGCCTCAAAGTTTCTAACTTATACGAAACAAGTAAAATACTACCCTTACATTACAATTTAAAATAGAAACTAAAGCACCAGTTTCTACAGTAAACATTATCTTATACGCGAGTTATTGATTAAATGATTATTAGATGAAAAAATATCGCATATTATAAAACTGATATTTTTAAATTATTCCAAGACTGTTATCAATTATTGTTATTCATATTTACGTTACCATTTTTAAATCTATTCATTACAAAAAGGCGACATATATTTCTAATGCAATAAAATAATTTTTAACAAAAAAAATTGCAATATGTTAACAAGAATTTGCAACATAGGATTGCATTGAAGCACTAGTTTAACTACAATCAGTTCAGTTTCGCGGTCACTTGGAGGGAAAGGCTAAATTAGCCTCCAAAAAGCTTGGTGTGCTCAGTAAGGCGAGACGGTACTTCACTCCGGGCCACCGCATGCAACTATATAAAGCGCAAATTCGGCCCCACATGGAGTACTGCTCTCACCTCTGGGCGGGGGCTCCCCAGTACCAGCTCCTTCCACTTGACCGTATACAACGCAGAGCGGTTCGAATCGTTGACGACCAATCCCTCTCCGAGCGGCTTGATCCTTTGGCGTTGCGTAGAGATGTGGGGTCACTCTGCATCTTTTACCGCATTTACCATGGAGAGTGTTCAGAGGAGTTGTTCGGATTAATACCTGCAGCTGAGTTTCATCATCGGACGTCGAGGCAGAATACGAAATTCCACCCGTATCACCTCGACGTCCGACGTTCCACAACTGAGCGTTTCTCAAGGCAGTTTTTGCCGCGCACCACCACTATGTGGAACCAGCTGCCCACTGAAGTATTCCCGAACCAATTCGACTTAGGGTCCTTCAAGAAAAGAGCGTACCAATTTTTAAAAGGCCGGCAACGCACTCGCGAGCCCTCTGGCATTGAGAGTGTCCATGGGCGGCGGTATCACTTAACATCAGGTGAGCCTCCTGCCCGTTTGCCCCCCGTTCTATAAAAAAAAAAAAAAAAAAAACATTATATAATTTCATCAACATCATCATGATGGCTGGAAGTCTTCCACAGTCCGTTTCACAAGGCACTTTATTTTGTGAACTAGCGAATCTATTGCCGGTGGGCGTCTTCCCTGTGAGATACGACCTCCAACTATTCAAAGTTAGAGTGTACTCCTCCCTCAAAGGCCGGCAAGGCACATACTAAAAACGGGTGTCCATGGGCTATCGCAGCCCAAACTGCTCTTTTTGGGCGTCCCGTAGCTATTATATAAAGAAAATAATAACTAAGCGCATCGATTCCTTGAAACATTCATCCATTTTTACACGTAAAATTTTATACTAAAATAATTTTATTTTTCCAAGGACCTCTTATAGAGTAGTAGTAAAAGTAGAGTTAAAAAGGCCTAAAGGAGGATAATGTACACACCATTATTTCAAAACACAATTTTTATTAGTAAACAGTCATAATAAAACATAAAAATACATATTTATTTAGGTTTCTTCTTTAAAATAACAAAAGAACTGTTCGTCTAGAAAAGATCGCTTGGTTGCGATTAACTCGTTCCACTGTGCTACTTTTAACTTTTTCAAATGTTGTCTGCATAATGTTTTCCAGTCACATACAAAATAATTTTGATAAGTGTTTAATAAATAAATACAAAACTAAATCTTTAAATCTCATTTATTCGTTACTTCTTGCTTTTCTTTTTTTCTTTTCCTGGAACAAAATAGAAACAATTGTAAACATTTTCTCTTAATTAGATAAAAGAAACAACGCCGAGTTTTCTTAGTAATGCGTACATTTGTAATAATTTATATACAAATACTAGCTGACCCGGCAAACGTTTGTATTGTATGTATATTATTTCTAGGAAAAACATTTTTAGTTTAATAAAAATAGCTTTCTACAATAATAAAAAAATAGGGGTTGATCGTATTTACAATTAGGGGTTCTATACATTTGTGTATGTTGTATCATACAAAAATAAAAATAAAATTTTCTAAAAAATTAAAACTATTTTTTTGTCGAGGACACCTACTCTCTATCTATCACTTAGGGGTTTGAAAGATAGATAGTAGTTGATTCTCAGACTTACTGAATATGCATATAAAATTTCATAAGAACCGGTCTAGGCGGGTCGGAGGAGTATGGGAACGAACATTGTGACACGAGAATTTGATATATACAGATATACAGCTCTAAATTAATTATTATTTAGAGCTGTATACAAAATATAAAATTTCTTATTTGAAAGCAACTTCAGTCAGCTTCCGATTTCCGATTAGCCAGCAAGTTGTAGCGCGCACTCACCGAATGGGGCATACTCTAATGCCAAGGCTATTTATTTCGTAATTCTACAGTTAACATAAATGATATATAACAAAAAACAATTATACTAAAATATAGTCAAAGACGGAATACATAATATATATAAAAAGGGGCAAACATTTACGAAAGGAAAAAAATCAATGAAAATTTAAATACATTTAATTAAGTAATACCTAATCGGCTGTGTTGGGTATGTACATGAGGTGTGCACATGATGCAGGTGATTTAAAGCTATGGATATTTCCTATTGAGAACTCTTGGGGAAATTTTGGATAGATGTAGGTTAGCTAAACTTGTCTAGAAACAAATTTTATACAATATAAAAATCAGCGTTCATATTTTCGTTGTTTAATTCATTAGACTATAGTTTACAATCCCTCTTCGAATATTCAAATGTAGTTAATGACAAGGCTTTTCTAATACTCTTTAAAACAAGATTAACTGTATAAGCCTCAAAGTTTCTAACTTATACGAAACAAGTAAAATACTACCCTTACATTACAATTTAAAATAGAAACTAAAGCACCAGTTTCTACAGTAAACATTATCTTATACGCGAGTTATTGATTAAATGATTATTAGATGAAAAAATATCGCATATTATAAAACTGATATTTTTAAATTATTCCAAGACTGTTATCAATTATTGTTATTCATATTTACGTTACCATTTTTAAATCTATTCATTACAAAAAGGCGACATATATTTCTAATGCAATAAAATAATTTTTAACAAAAAAAATTGCAATATGTTAACAAGAATTTGCAACATAGGATTGCATTGAAGCACTAGTTTAACTACAATCTCTAAGCTTCTAAATAAAGATTAAGCAACTGAATAAAACTAACCTTTTACGTCTACTATCGTATCAATGGCTCTAGATCCAACATTCCACAACTCGCGAGCAATTAGACTCATTATAGTTTTGTTAGAATAAATAAAATCCATTGCCCGTCCAACCAACGCGTCAGATGTTGTAAAGTCCTGATTAACTTTCTTATATTGTTCTTTAAAATTCTCCAACGTCTTAAACGAAGATATTCTGTTCTCCAAAGAGAGTATTAAAATCGTGTACAACAGTAAGCGCCGCATTGCTGATACTAAACTTGCGGTGGTATGTACAACTGTTCTGTGTTCATACTGGTAATTTTAAAATTTGTTTTATTTTATATTTCGATGTCTTGTCTGCGGTGAAGCTTTACTCATAAATTAACATTTACGGCCTAAAAACATGTGTAAAAGAGCTGGAATCATTTATAATTCTTTTAAAAGCATTTAAACTTTTATAATATATATGTTAATTATTTATGGATACGTTTTGTAATGGCTTCTTGATTCGATTAAAGTTATTTAAATAACAATATAATAATTAATAAAGGTTAATGGATAAAAACGCGAATTTATTATAACTCGATGACTTGCTTATCAGTGTTAACGTGTAACGTAACGGATTGAAACAAGTTTTATAGCCGTCGCGTAAAACCTAAGCCGGTAATCTTAATATATATAAATTACGTGTCACGTTGTTTGCCCGCTATGGACTCCTAAATTACTTAACCGATTTCAATCAAATTTGCATACCGTGTGCAGTTTGAACTAACTTAAAAGATAGGATAGCTTACATCTTCATTTATACCCGTAATATTATTTTATTGCAAATTATTTGTTTATTATTTGACAGTCACAATTCTAACAGATGGCGCTGTGTTGAAAGTACCAACATTTCACATAAGCTACAATTTAATGGCATAACCACCAAAAAAGCATGGTCCCCATGGCTGGTGTTCTCCTACCGTTTCCCTTGAATAGTTTACTAATATGTAATATAACAAAAACTTTAGCCACAGCAAAGCTTGGCCGAGTCTGCTAGTATTATATAAATTAGATTTTTATAATACCTTCGAAATAATGTATGAATATTTTCAAGCTTCTCAGTCGGTGCAGAGTTGGCCTAGTGGTTTAAGTGACTCACGATGCCGAGGTCGTGAATGAGAGAGCGACAGTACAAGAGTACTTGTACAATCAAAGAAAACATGACAAATCCGGCAATCCTTACACCCAAGAATCGACTGCGTGCTAATCGAAGCTAAGACAAAATCTTGTAGTGCTGCTGATTATTTTAAATTAATGAATTTGCAATCGATTAAAATAAATGTTATAGACGTCCCTTAATGATTATTAAAGAAGATGACAAAGAGCCTACACGTTCGTTTCGCTGTATTTATTATTCTCGGAAACGATTTGCCGTTTGATGAACTGGCTGAATGAATAATTCTTGTAAATATGTATGTTAGTATCTGGATTTTAGTATTACAATTATTCAAACATTATATAAATAACCACATTTAATTTCTAAAATATATTGTATCTAATATGTATGGTATTTATTCAACTTAAATGTACAGTATAAGGTATATTAATAACAACTAAATTCAAATTTGGAATCGTTTTATCCGTCTACACGAAGCTTTCTTAAAAATAGAACCTAATTTTGAATTCAAAATCACACACATTTGCAATTCAGTTTTCAATATACAACCACAGATATAATCAACTATATTCACTTTGAATTTAGAACCCTTTTCTTAGCTGCACAGACTAGATAACAATCTTCAAGCGAAAGAACCGTTTCAGGTTAGAATGTGTCATTTAGGGGAACAAAGTACGTCGTTTTAAAAACACTTCTATATCTAGGTCATAAAAATAGCAGTTTATGCAAACTTTTACATCGTGTATTGCATGCGACGTCAGTTTGTGTGTGGCTTTTTGTGGGACTTTGTTTATGAGCTGTTATTTTGATAAACTATTTTAGTTTCCCTAGATGGAGTTTTAATATTAAATTGTAGGCAATGTGATGTTTTGATGAACATTTTGGAATTTATATGAAAAATTCGTAGTTCGCTATATAGAATGTTTACATATAATATTTTTAATATTAGAATTATGCTTATGGAAAGTCTGTGTCCCGACAATACTTTAACTTTTTAGTGATATTGCATATTATCATGTAATCGAGCTACAGCGTCCATAAAAATTATAACCCTCACTGTTTAAAAAAAACTTTCATTATTTTACTTGAAACCATCCGGTGCACTTCACACTTAATTTCTTATTATAATGCTATTTGTATATCGAATTAAAATTGTAATATTTTTATGTACATGAGAAATTCTATGTTCTAAAATCGTTAAAGAATTATATTTAAGCTGGTTTAAGAAAATATAATAAAGTCCCTTACACTTTATACTTAAGTTACTGAAACTTATTAAAACGTTTTGAATGAGTTTTAATGCTGATAGAATTTGAGAGAAGCAACATGGACTAATTGTCAACCTAAGAAAACCGTGACACATTTAGTAAGTAAATAATCAGTATTTATACCAGTATAGTTATAGTAGTAGTTAAATAAAAGTAAATGGATGCGAGGCGCTAAAGAGTGACGTAATGCGATGTCAACAGCAGCAGGTGACTCCTGCCTAGGTATATATTGTATTTTTAAACAGCACCAAATATTTTAATCACATTCCAGGAGAAAGTATTAAGTAGTTAGCTTGCAGTATGTATAATCATTTGCAACCACTACTTTCTTCTACCATTTCTCTTGCTTTGAATTTTTCCCCTTATGAGCTGCAACAAGATGATGACGTAAAACGTGTTTTTGATATGAGACTTTATTTTAACAATCTGCATAAAGATTCGTGTCCATATTCGTTAAAGGACTCTCTCATTCGTCACTCTTTGTATGCAGCTGATGCGAAGCATGCGCCGGTGACACCACATCCAAAGCTTCGAGGCGCCTTCTTGTGTCTTCTTTAATAGTCCATGCCTCACAGCTGTATAGTGCTATTTGCCAAATATAGTAGAGGAAGATTTGAACCCTCAACTTAATACTAATGTGGCGACAACATAGTAGTTTTTTCAGTTTATGAAAAGAATCCCGGGCCATTTCATTTACCTATGCCCCTAAGGACTTATATTGTCACACGCAATCAGGTGTTCTACGCTTAGTAGAGCTATCTTTGTGCATACACAAAAATACATATAGGCAACGAATTAACCTCTGGTTATTTTGATGTCTCTTAAACACATCACGTTATACGCACAAAAAAGGGATATATATTTAGTAATAATTATACATATGATACATAATTATTGTGCTTGTATAAAATAGTTCTAGTTACATTTATCGAGAGACAAATTAAGTTATCAAAAGATATGTTAAAAATCGTGTTTATTTAAACATATTATGTTAGAAAACACAAAACTTCCATTTCCCAGTGCTAAGACCGATAGGTACACTATACCATTATTGTAAAAATACAATTTTCCTGGTCCCTGTTCAAATCTGTGTCCTTCCCACGGGACCCGCACATAAGAAGGTAAATGCGTTATAAGAAAATTCACAGGAATTTCTATATTATCAGAAGAATTTTCTTCTTGGATTCTTTTGTAAATTGAATCTCTTTCTTATGAATTCTTGGTATATGGTATTATTATTCTTATATTCTATACCGCGTTGGATTTTATATAGCAAAAAATATTCTTAATAAAAGTAATGTATACAAATCATCGTGAAGGTAGAGTATTAAAATAAGTTGGTTTCATATTTGTATTTCCAGAAATCGTAGTGATGCTCAAATGTTATATAAAAATATAACAATCGAACATTACTTTATTTGATTAAAATCTGATAGTAAGAAAATAATTATAATCAAGCGAGTTTAGTACATACCAGTCCACAAAATACGCAGTATCCCTATTGTTTGTAAGAAGTTAACATTCCGGAACTATTGTAAAATAATTAAATTAACTTACGCACAACTTTTTCTTATATTATTATCATAAAGCGCAGCAGTGTTAGCCTAGTGGCTTCAGTGTGCGACTCTCATCCCTGAGGTCCTAGGTTTGATCCCCGGCTGTGCATCATTGGATGTTTTTTTATGTGCGCTCGAACGGCGAAGGATAACATCGTGAGGTAACTGGCTTGATTTGGCCCAAAAAGTCGGCGGTGTGTGTCAGGCACAGGAGACTGATCACCTGCTAGCCAAATGATCATAAAACAGACACAGAAAACTAAGACCCAGACTTAAAAAGATTGTAGCGCCACTGATTTATTTTTATTATTTTTGAATATCGTAAAGCAATGTACTACAAACATACCATCGAACTACATAATTCCTTGCTGCCAACAATTTCATTGTACAAGACCAAAGAGTCAAAGATATTAGGTGATTAAATATTATATTTCTATTTGTGTGTCACAAAATATATGCTTTGATGGGCCATTAGTCTACCTGTATTAAAGTATTATGATCGTAAAACAAATTATCTCTATGATTTAGTTAAGCAAATTTACGTTTTTGCTAGAACTCAGTCGAAGTCTCACTCGCTCTTTTCTGTGTCTTGCAAGTTACAAAATCTTCGAATTGACCCACAATTAGGTATACCACACTTACTATATTATATGCTACTTATTTAGCTGACTATACAGGGTGGTCAAAAAGTCGTGGATCGAAAGATATTAGAGCGACTCATGGCCATGTGTAATACCTTTTCAGAATCCCTATTAAATGCGCCAAAACTTGTAATACAGGGTCACTTTTCGGTAGAGTAATTTTTTTTCACAGTGGGGTACGAAGTAAACAAAAAGTTATGATTTGAATTTTTTTTATATCGTATAACTTAATATTATCTTCAATACACTCAAAGAACAACTATAAATAGTATGTCTAAAGCAAGAACTCATCAGTACCAATCTAGTGGATATTATGAAAAAGATACAGGATGTAGATATTTTCGAATTTTAATTAGAGTTAAGAGTTAATAAATTAAAAGAATTAGTAAAAAAAGTCAATTTTCTTATAAAAACGCAAAATAAATCATAACTCTGCAGGGGTTGAGTTAAGAGACCTCCCGTAGAAGAATTTTTTTGCAGCTGATGACCTCATCTATCCCCTATTTGCATTTGATCCACGACTTTTTGGCCAACCTGTAAAAGTATGGTCTCAGTATAAAATAAGTAACCTATAATATACGTATACGTAACGCTAAGTCTATAAGAGAAATGTACTCTAAATATTAATTGGAATTAT